CGGCAGATGTGAGTCAGCATCCTGTTCAGAACGGCTGTTGGTGCCTTGCCATGGACAATAAAGACACACATTTTCCATGGAATGCCAGATGCTGGAACTGACTTGGGGTTTCTACCCGCAGAGAGGAGGAGGAAACTCCGGGAGGCTGATTTTGTGGGTTTGGATTCAGCCATCATTTTAGACTGCAAATGTGCTCTATGCTTGAAAAATATGGTGAATGATTTACAGGACCCAGGACCCCCAGGTTTCTGCTGGCATCCTGCTGTCAGCAACGCCTCCCTGGCATTCCCTTGGCAAAGCTGTTGCTTCGGATTGACTGGCATTTGGAGCAGTGACTGGCCTCTGGGGTGCTCACAATCCAAGTGTTGAAAATACTGTTGTAGTTAGCTAATTAGGGTAACTGGCTATTTTTGTTCAAGGAGTAAATGCTTTAAGACTTTCTTGTGGTGTTTCCCATCGGAAGCCAAATACATTTGTGTCTCGGTTCCTCAGTAATCTTGGAAAACTGTAACTTCTGTTAGTTTTGAAAAAAAATTGTAAAAAATCTGCCTGGATCACAGAATTCATGTTCTCACCTACGTTCTATGGGATCGCCCTGTCCACATCACTCTTCTTGGGGAGAGCCTTTGCTTAGATGACTTTGTGATCACTCAGACACAGGAGGAAGAGGTTGGAAAGAAAGCGTTATTCAGATTTGCTGTTTCTTCTCTATGCCCTGCCCCACCCACATGGTTTCTTTAGACCCTGGGCCCTTCCACCCAGCAAACACTGCCTGAAGCACTGGAACACGAGAGGTCAAAGAGTAGAAATCCAGGGAGGCAGAGTCCTATCCCCCGGGCATCTGACACTGTATTCAATTGAGGGCTTTTCTGGTGTCCTGGCACTGGCTGTACATTGTTGATGATGATTGTGCTGACATAGGTATTTGAGGTTGCGTCTGAGTCCTTCACTTGCATCCTGGGTAGAATTGATGACTAACCGGATGACCCTTGCAGCCTCAATCTGTACTGAACAATTTTCCACAGGAATAAATGGCCCCACCAATTACAATAGCAGGTCAGGAGGAAGCAGCAGTGTTCCAAAGATAAGATGGTTCAATCCCATTTGCAGATGCACGTATTTGGTATTACGGCATAGGACAGGACTTAAGGGGCTTTGACCAGGCAGTTGATCCTGGCTCCATGATTCTTCCTTTTCCCAGTTCAGCTTGAAACATGCAGACAGTGTTATGGGATAAATAGCCGGTGCAGGTGGGATTCTTGGGCAGGGCAGTGGGAGGGGATTCCTCCACTTGTAGAAATAGCCTCCACTTCATTGCTTTGTAGTTACTGGCATTAGCACCTGTGCACTGGATTAGGACTGCTCACTTGTAAAGTCCCAGCTCCTTAGATGCTGCATCTCAGCTGGCTGTTTGCTTGGTAAATTAATTTAGATAAAATACATTTCCATTCCTTGAGACTGTGGTTGTTGCTGCCTCCTAGGTAAGATTCGGGTTAACCACCCAGGGCTCTTTATGGGGATTTCCAATAATTGGATTGAATTCTGTCTCTGCTGGCTGGACACGTAGCTGCAATGGAAAGAAAGGCAAAAAGCTGTTTCCTTGGCTAAGAGTGTGGGACTGCATTGTAGCTTATGGAGGGAACTCTTTTTAGATGTTACTTCTTATCTGGGTTGTTTGGACCCAAGTAAGCACGTCTTTCCTTAAAACTGTAATCGACACCCGTACCTTGCAGAAGCAGTTGGTAGATGTGACACAAAAGTCTTTTGGATTGGTAGAGTTCTAAAGACATTTCCATTTCCCACCCATGGTTATCCATTTCTGTTGGTGATTCTCAAACAAGGAATTACCAGGGAGCCTGCTGAAGTGCTGCTTCCTGGGTTCCAAGTTCTAGAGCAGGCGTCCCCAGACTTTTTACACAGGGGGCCAGTTCACTGTCCCTCAGACCGTTGGAGGGCCGCCACATACTGTGCTCCTCTCACTGACCCCAATGAAAGAGGTGCCCCTTCCTGAAGTGCAGCGGGGGGCCGGATAAATAGCCTCAGGGGGCCGTAGTCTGGGGACGCCTATTCTAGAGAATCTTACTTAGTGGTTCTCAGGTGGGGCCCAAGGGACTGTGTTTTTAATAAGTGCTTCATGTGCTGTTAATGCAGGTGGGCCAAGAACACATTCGGACCCAAACACAGACTGCATTTGTTTTTATCAGAGAATGCTTTTTTATGGGTCAGTGTTCTTGATACTTCAGGCCAGCGGCTCCTAGGTTGACTTCTGGAAGTATTAGAATTGAGGTTAGAGTATAGAATTGTATTTTGTGTTAATTCTTCAGCGTTTTCAGTTGTAGGTAATAAAATTAAGTACAAGGCAAAACCCATTAATAAGCAAGTGGTTTGCCTGATGTGAAGCTAGAGCCATAGAATTTTGAGAGACAGCAAGAGAGCAGATGAGCAAGTGAGCACGCGGGTGTGGGTAGGCATGCATACACAGCAGCCCAGGCACACGTCCACTGTGTGGGCATTATCGAGTCTTTGAATCTTTCTCTTCTGCCCATTCCTAATTGAAACGAAATACAAGTTAAAGCTCTATTATATCCATTGGTGTTTCATAGAAACAGAACTGGCTGGGGGATCATTGTTCAAGCCCCCTTACTTGTGCAGATGTGGCAGCTGAGACCCCAGGAGGGCCAATGTTGACACACGTAACAGGGATGTTTGTCCTTCTAGAGTGGGATGCAGTCCCTCTGAGCTTTAGAGCCTCCACCTGTGACGTAGAAAGAGAAACAGCTATCCTCACTTGGTTGTTGTAAGGATGAAATAATAAAGCTTGTCTTAGGACATTTGGAAACTGAAGAGAATTATGTAGATGTAATTACTAATTATTATGACTGTGTTTTCTTGTAACTGAAGTATTTAGAGCTATACAGGGAATCTCTTGAAGTGAAGTTAGAGCAATGACTGCCTGCCACTCACTGGGTATTTTAAAAAACCCATTTGTGGTCATTATGGTGAACTTTGAATGTACAGATAATCAAAAGAAAGAAAAATTTATACATAATCCCACCATTCAGATGATCATTATTAAAATTTTTATATAGAGAATTCTAGATATTTTCTTGTAATGCATATACATTTTACAATAATGAGCGTATACTGACGATACTGCTTTGCAACCTCTTTTTTTTTTTTTTTTTAAACTTAACAGTATCTATATTGTGGAATTTTCCAACATTACTTAATACTTATATGCCAGCATTTTAAATGGCTGCATAGTATCTCATATGGAAAAAAGAACATTTAATCAGCCTCTTATTGGACATAGGTGGTTTTCCTACTTTACTTTTCGATATATACAATGCTGAAATAAGCATCTTTGAAGCTGTATCTCATATCCAGCAATTGGATTTTTGTGTTTACCTTGGCTACTCTAAAAATCAGAGCTAAAGTTATAGATGCTACAGTTAAGATAGCCAGACTATTGGTATGGACTTGCTTTTAAATGAGCATATACATTTAAAAAATTGATTTATTTTTATACCCAGAAATTCTTTTTTTTTTTTTTTTTTTGAGACGGAGCTTCGCTCTTGTTACCCAGGCTGGAGTGCAATGGCACGATCTCGGCTCACCACAACCTCCGCCTATTGGGTTCAGGCAATTCTCCTGCCTCCGCCTCCTGAGTAGCTGGGATTACAGGCACACGTCACCATGCCCAGCTAATTTTTTGTATTTTTAGTAGAGACGGGGTTTTACCATGTTGACCAGGATGGTCTCGATCTCTTGACCTCGTGATCCACCCGCCTCGGCCTCCCAAAGTGCTGGGATTACAGGTGTGAGCCACCGCGCCTGGCCCTATACCCAGAAATTCTAACTTTATATTTTCTGATCCAACACACTTGAGAATTCAGAATACCTCCTCTGTCGGTCTGCTGTTTGTCTTTGTCTCAAAGCGTTACGGTTTTGACCTCTCTGTTCCTTTAGGACTCCTGATTTTCTTTAGGCCAAGCCATTTGTAGCTTGCAAGTGACCTTGCAGGTTTAGCAACTGTACTCTCTCACCCAAAAATTACCCATCCAGTTATGGCAAAGACTCTACCTTTTATTAAACAAAGTTAATCAGTCAGGAGAGAGACTTTTCACGTTCTGAATTTTCAAAACTGCACTTTCTTAAGTTAAATGGGATGTTAGGAGTATTTCTAATATAAAATTGGAAACTTTCAGACACCAGAAGGCATTGCTTATCTTTGTAAATACACATGTTCCAATTAAAATAGGTACTAAAATATTTTGGTGGCACTTCAAAAACTCCCAATGTAGATTTAATTTAGATTAAAACACTTATTCTTTTTAATAAAGTTATAAAATTGATTATTAAAGTTGCCTATTGAAGATTAAAAGCAGTGGAACGTTTACTTTCCTTACAGAACAATTTTGTCTTCAATAAGTATGATTGTGTTAATCAATTATGCTATTAAAATACAACTGCCATATTAAATCTGACTCATTTGTCATGACAGTTTTTATAATTATAGAAATTATACCTAGCTGCTTATATAGCTATAATCCTGTAATAAATATAAATAATTATCTCTATTAATTCAGTTTGCAGTTACTGTCTATTAAATCCCTAGTAAAATGGCAATCTGGGGACCTTGATTTAAAATCCTAATAAATCTCTGTTGTTCCATCTGACTGCCAAAGCCCCACAAATGTACCTCCTGCTGTTGATTCCAGAAACCAATTTATGAATAAAATAGTTTTTAAACCACAAATATTTAAAAGGTCCATTAAAGCTTGAGGTTTGAGGCTCTCAGGAAAAAAGGAAAGAGAGTATGTGCATTAGGTAGGTAGAGGATGTGGACAAAAGAGACAGAACAAATCTTGGTGTCTTGGTATTTCAGTTTGGAAAACATATAAATTTTAGTTTGAAAAACTCTGCTTAACACCTTCTAGGTAAGCTCAAAATATTAGAGTATATGGTTGAGTAACAATTAACAACTTGTATTTTCACAGGTGTGGACGAGGTCACCATTGTCAACATTTTGACCAACCGCAGCAATGCACAGAGACAAGATATTGCCTTCGCCTACCAGAGAAGGACTAAAAAGGTAAAGGCATTCCAGGGATGGAGGGCTTTTCTTGTTGAATTTTTATTTCCTCAGGCTTTACTTTGTCTTTTCTTTTCTTTTCTTTTCTTTTTTTTTTTTTTTTTTTGAGACAGAGTTTCGCTCTTGTTACCCAGGCTGGAGTGCAATGGCGCGATCTCGGCTCACCGCAACCTCCACCTCCTGGGTTCAAGCAATTCTCCTGCTGCAGCCTCCTGAGTAGCTGGGATTACAGGCATGTGCCACCATGTCCAGCTACTTTTTTGTATTTTTAGTAGAGACGGGGTTTCACCATGTTGACCAGGATGGTCTCGATCTCTGGACCTCGTGATCCACCCGCCTCGGCCTCCCAAAGTGCTGGGATTACAGGCTTGAGCCACTGCGCCCGGCTGCTTTGTCTTTTCGTGAGTTGTGGCTCTCATGAGCAGAATACTTCTGGGACCCTTGGATATCCAAGATGTTTTTCTTTTTCTTTTTCTTTTTTTTTTTTTTGAGACGGAGTTTCGCTCTTGTTACCCAGGCTAGAGTGCAATGGCGTGATCTCAGCTCACTGCAACCTCCGCCTCCTGGGTTCAGGCAATTCTCCTGCCTCAGCCTCCTGAGTAGCTGGGATTACAGGCACACGCCACCATGCCCAGCTACTTTTTGTATTTTTTTTAGTAGAGATGGGGTTTCACCATGTTGACCAGGATGATCTCGATCTCTTGACCTCATGATCCACCCGCCTCGGCCTCCCAAAGTGCTGGGATTACAGGCATGAGCCACCGCGCCCGGCCCCAAGATATTTTTCTTAAATCCTTCTAAGAGTCCCTGTGCATGTGTGTGTAGCTTTGTAGATGCCATGGGTGCTCTTAGATTACACACACACACACACACACACACACGGCCTTTAGAGCAGCTGTCCCCAACTCTTTTGGCTGCAGAGACCAGTTTCATGGAAGACAATTTTTCCATGGATGTGGGTGGGGAGGGGTGGTTTCAGGATGAAACTGTTCCATCTCAGGTCATTAGTCATTAGACTTTCGTGAGAAGTACACAGCCTGGATCCTTCTCACCTGCAGCTCACAATAGGGTTTGTACTCCTATGAGAGTGTAATGCCACCGTCGGTCTGAGAGGGGCAGTGCGCAGGTGGTCATGCTCACTTTAGAGTGCTGGGGAGCTCCTGTGTGAGGACACTACCCCACTCCAACCTAGGCTTCCTGGATGGAGAACTTCCGGGATTAGAAAGTTAGAAAGGAATAGGGGAACAACAGTAACAACCTCGGGCATCGTTGATTGAGTGGTTACTTTGGGCCAGGCACTGTGCTCAGTTTTCTACGTGTCACAACTCATTTCATCTTTATGACTTCTGCTGGTTCTTGATAAGATGTTTCTAATTTAATTTTAGGACACTGCCCTCCACTGAGTATCGACCCTATCAAGCTCCTCTCATTTTAAAAATATACACTTGAATTCTTAAGAGTTTTGCAGCGAGTGGGCTTAGCTGGTAGTTCATTTGGTCTGTAAGGCTATCTTCATATGCCACGCTCCTACTATTTAAAGGATCTCTGTGTGCTTTTCCCTTTGCTTGTCCACTAGCGGTTAAGAAACAGCAGCGCCTGTTCATCCTTTATTTTGTCAGTCTTAGGAAATTTTATTTTTAAGGATGTGCTGCTTTATTTTTAACTTCTTGCTATTAAAAGCTTTTGATTTATTCTTGGACAGCGCAGTAAATGTGGCTTCCTGCAGCTCCCGTTTGACTTAAGGCTTTCACTCATAGCCGCAGTAGAGGTGAGCTGGAAGGATTCTAGAAGAGATACTTCCGCCCTTGGGATTGACATGAGCACCAGGCCTGGGATTTGTAGGTCAAGCCTTGCTACACTCCAATCTCTCGCACTCTAAAACAGTTGGAAAGGACATAAATAGGAAAGCATCTGGCTTCTTTCATCTCATGTGCATTAAAATTCTTCTTTCACTAGACTTATATTAATCTTTGGTAGTGAGGCGTAGTGGGGTGTGTTTTATTTCTTCAGCTTCCCAAAGGGGTCTGTGAGCTGTTAAAGCCAAGTTCCCGTTGGAGCAGAAGGCTCATCTCTGGACAGCATGCAAAAAAATTGATGTTTCAGCTGTCACTAAGAGAGTATGGTCTTGGAATACATTTGGGTGTATATGCACAAACAGAGAAGCTTGGATCTTTTTTTTTTTTTGGAGACAACAGTCTTGCTCCATCACCCAAGCTTGATTGCAGTGGTGTGATTCGGTTTACTGCAACCTCTGCCACATAGACTCAAGCAGTTCTCTGACTTCAGCCTCCCAAACTGCTGGGATTACAGTCAGAGACTGCCGCACCCAAATTCTAGGTCTTGGTTTTAGATATATGGAGAACAAAGCTCTCACATACCCTCTTGGAGGGAAGATACTACCAGAGTTATGGTGAGGTCCCAAGATCTCACAGGCTTCGCTGTGTGCTGGGGACAGCTCACCATCCTACTAATTCTTTTTTTATTTTTTTGAGGTGGAGTCTTGCTCTGTCACCCAGGCTGGAGTGCATTGGTGTAATCTGGGCTCACTGAAATCTCTGCCTGCCAAGTTAAAGTGATCCTCCTGCCTCACCCTCCTGACTAGCTGGGACTACAGGCGCCCACCACCAGAAATAGCTAATTTTTGTATTTTTAGCAGAGACGGGGTTTCTCCATGTTGGTTAGGATGGTCTTGAACTCTTGACCTCAGAGGACCCACGTGCCTGGGTCTCCCAAAGGGCTGGGATTACAAGTGTGAGCCACCACGCCCAGCCACAGTCCTACTAATTCTCGACTCTCAGCCTTGGGCCAAGGAGAATTATGTATCTTTTCTAAAAGATAGGTATACTACTTGAGAGAGTTTCAAGTGAAACAATCAGCTGTTTGTGAAATTAAGAAGAATGTTTGTGAAATAAGCAAGATTTGCGTTGCAGAGTTCTTTAGGGAAACGGGCTGCGACTGCCCAGGGGATGAGCTTGAAGAACCTGGGCCAAGCTAGTAGAGTGGAGAGGAGCGGGGAGAGACAGCTGCTTTTACGATTCCTTCATGTTCCAGCAGACGCCAGATGCAGGGCTTCTCCATATGCTAAATAAAACATATCCAGGGAACGCTTATGTTTTGTTTATCATACACTTCTGGAGTTTCGGTTTAGTTTTTGTTAAGAGCAAAGCTCTGTGCTGGATATGGTGAGAAACAGGAAGTTGAACGCCCATAAGGAGTTCGGAATAGAAGTGGAAGAAGTCAGTAGGTGCCCAAATGCTATTTGAGGTTTGAACAGAGAATGGGTAGAGGGGAGTGTCAAGGGTAGGCTAAGTTTGGAGTTAAGCTGACCTCAAAGTTCCAAACTGGGAGACTGGTGTTATAATTGGGAGGTACTGCTTTTACAGCCCCCTTCTAAGTGCTGTGTGTTCCCAGGACATCGGAAAGCAGGAGAAAGTGGTTGGGGAAAGGCTCTGGCCAGGTGCTAAGATCCATGTCAGTTCTAACAGTGTTGACATCTTTGAATGATTCAAGATGGCGGTGTCTGAAACAGGCTGCAAATCGCGTCTTGTAGCCTGCGAGTACCTCTAGGGGCTAAGCTTTGTAGATGCTATGGGTGTTCTTAGAAAGCAGGACAGAAAGAAAGAAGAGAAGTGAAAGGAAAAGGTGAAAAGAAGAACATTATTTTAGTAGGAGGTTTCAGTCATCAGCTGTGACTTGTGGAAAGTTTAGCCCAAGGAAGGCATCGCTGAAAGCCACATGGAGTTGGGAGTTCTGTCTGCATACATGGGTGCTCACCAGACCTCTGACTTAAGTTTTTGTGTTCATGGTGACGGCGGAACCCTTAAGAAATTGTATGCAGCAGGGAATTCAAGGGGGCCACGTGAGTGTGAGTTCTCTCTTCCGTTAAACACCGTCTCAGTTTGGTGTGGACAAAGAGCTGTTTTGTCCGTATTAGATGAAGTGTTTTGCATAGACAAGTTTCATGACCTCACTTCCAACTGTGTTGGGGCCTCTGGTTCCTTCCGGTGACTTTGAGGAGCTGCCGCTGCAATGGCTGCGCCCACGTTTTTTTACAGTATATCAGCAGGCCACAAGGACTGCTTTCGAGGAGGAGGCTGGCTGCTCAAACACCTCCTCTTAGCAGGGGCCTTGATCTCAGAAAGCATCCTGATTCCACAGGCTGTTACCACTTCCAGGCATATTGCAAAGTGCCTGTACTCTCACAGCTTTCTGAGGAATCACATACGAATCCAGTTTCCTTTTATCGATCATGGAAGAAGGCAAAATTAACTAGGATTTTAAGGAATTTCTTTAAAGCAAAGCCTGGTGTTTATGTTTCTGAGATCTGGGTCTGTTGAAAGGAATGCAGTTGATGGCGTTTGACCAAGACTCTGGAGTGGTTAGACTCACAACCTGCTTCACAAACAGACCCCTTTTACTTCTGTTTTACCCACCAGTTTTAAAGGAAAAAATAAATACTTTCCTCCTGATTGCCTGTTTTCTTGAAGGAACTTGCATCAGCACTGAAGTCAGCCTTATCTGGCCACCTGGAGACGGTGATTTTAGGCCTATTGAAGACACCTGCTCAGTATGACGCCTCTGAGCTAAAAGCTTCCATGAAGGTAAATGCCTATGAGATGTCCTCTCTGTCAAATCTGCTATTAATTTTGTGAATTACAGCTTTCTGAGTATAATCTGGTGATTTTCAGTTTTGTTAAATTCTCATTTGGAATCATTTTTTAAAAATGAACTGAAGCTACACGTCTCAGGATTTGTACCAAAAATATTTCAATTACTTGTTTTAAGACTGTGAAGAAATTTCATGATGCTGAGAAGTCAGTTACCAGCTGCTACTACTCAGCACCTGGGCAATTGGAATACCATTTGGGAAAACTACTTCCTTGATTACACTTCCTCCTTTAAAAAGATGTGTTGTGATATTAAGGCAAGAAAAAATCTCATAGCTTTTGTTAAGTGAAGCTTGCAAATTCTGCTCATCCTTTCGTGGGTGTTTCTTCCTCCCATATTCTCTCTGTCAGTACCATTGTTTGTTTCAACTTCGGGCAGAATCAGAACATCACAGTGCACATAAGGGGTAATTTCGGATGATGAATCCCAAATTGTACCCAGATTGTACACGTGTGAAGGTAACTGTGAAGTCTCATTGCACGTTGTCTTGTTTTTCTTTTGCAAAGTTATTTTGAACCTGGAATTTTAGGTTAATAAGTAAAAATTCTAGACTGGAAACCTCCTGAACTTTGTGCATACCTAAAACATCAAGTCTATAAATGTAATAGACGCACACACATAAACGCATGTTAACTGCAACGCGTGTGGACCCTTTTTGGTAGTGTCTGCAGCACTTTGAACAGTCCGACACTGCCCTCTGCTGATTAAGATGGGTAAAGGCTCTGCTGTAGTGGGGGAAGCCATATGTCTGATTTTCATTCTGAGTCTGTTTTTTCTCTGAAGCCACTATTCCTGAATTATGAACAGTCTGAGCTGTAAGCCTGTCACCAGAGCTAATGTCACAGTTCAGTCATCATCCTTTCCCCAGAGAACACGAGAGTGAGGCTGCTTCGGACACTGGGCATCTCCAGAGCCCTGAACTTGATAGCTCAGGGCTGCTCTAAGATTTGTTGTTAAGTCTCTTTCTTCCTTCAGTTCTTCAGCTTAGCCCAGGCTGTGCTCAGTTTATTTGAGCGGACTTGTCTGAGTGTCCTAAGTAGGCTGTACTGCAGAAAAGACGTCCTTAAGAATGATGAAATGTCAACAACATTTCATGATCCCGCTTGATAAAAATAGCACTCCTGAAAGCCGAGTCTGTGGACCTTTGGAGGCAGGGATGAGTCAGCCTCTCCTAGGTTTCTTCTGACCATCCACAATCCAGATCAGTTTGTCTTATTTTTATCAAGAATCTATTTAGTTATGATTAGTGTGACTTTACTAGTATCGATTACTAGGTGTTAGTGACTTGAAACAGACCTTTTTGTGCTGTCAGTCACTGTGGTAATCTATGTAATTGGCCCAGTGGAAGGTGCTTTAACTGTTGAAGCTTTGACCCTGTGCCAGCTCTTCCATTAGCTATCACAGTTGAGTACCCTTCCAAAATCCATAAAGCTTGAAGTGACATTAACTGAAATATGCTTTAAAAAAAAAAAAAAAAAAAAAATCTATTTTGACTTCTGGCAGTACCAGTGGCAGTATCTGCCATATGTTACAGTAGAATTTACCCTTGTGCTAGGAATTGTGGACAGTCTGTGGACAGCTTGGGCCAGGCTTTGGAAATTGCCAAGGTCACCTTTGAATGTAGACGTAAAAACCACTCTTAGAATTCTCAGATGTTAACACTGGTATATCAGTGAAGGAAGGAAACACATCTTACATTATTCTGCCTGTCTTGCAATTCTACAATGTCAGGATATAGCATTTCTCCCAATGTGTGTTATTTTTAGACTGTATTTCTATCATCCTTGAGATTGAACAACTGCGTCTCCTTAAAAATATTCAAAGATGGTCCGCAGTCATTTAGTAACATTTGTGCAGAAGGCTGGATAGACCTTTGGCTAACAAGGGGAGAATTTTTTTGGCTTTGCTGGAGCCTCTACAGATCATGATTAAAAACTCTGAAAGAAGAGCCATTGGTTCAAAGATTAGATGAAGAATAAAATTCAAAATTAACCATTAACCCGAGGCTTAGCTTATATTATACAAACTGTTTTTTCAGGGGCATATAACCTCTAATAAGTTTAATTAATAGCTGACACACTTTTCATGTGGATAAGTAAGTTTCTTATTGTATTAACACCTTATAATTGATTTACATTTTAAACAGTTGTAATTCTACTTAGTTCAAAGTGATATTTCCATATTTGGAAAGACAAGTATTAAAGAAGCCTGATTACTAAATCTTGACTTTGATCATGAAGCCAGCTTTGAAATACATGTTTCATTGAGTCCTTTTAAGCTATCTGGCATGCTCAAAAGTGTATATATTAAATTTGAATACATCACCCATCAAATCCTTATTCCTTAATAAAGTGTTGGTGTCTAGGTTTATTTGGCACTTCATTATTTCTTTTTGCTTTTCTAAAATGCCTGAAGAATGCATAATTATGAAGCAAAAATGGAAGGACAGGAATGAAATTTTTAACATTAACCCAATTTTACATTTCAAAGAGGTAAAGCGAAAAATTTTTTCTATACCTTTTCCTGGTAAAAAGACTTCCTCTAACAATGCTGGCTGTGAGTGACAACATAAATTTTCTATCTTCCTTTATTTCAAATTAGTGAGAAGCATTGTTTAACAAAGAAAATCCTCATTTTAAAAATAGTGGGTGGTTATGGTAGAAGGTGAAAAATAATAAGAAAAAGTTACTTTATATACATACCCACAGCAAAAGGCAATTGCCACTTGTAACATTTTGGCATATTCTATTGCTGCCTCTTCCCATTCACTACTTTAAAAAAAACAAACAAACATATTAACAGTTGAACTCAGACGTGCCAGTTACACCATCTTGTGCTCCGGTGAAGCATTTTTTTTAAAGAAACAGAAAATGCCGTTACTTGGTGCTAAGGAACAGAGCGTAGATTCTTCAGTAGGAATGTAGAAGGCAGGATGCTAACAGACGCAATCCATGTTTGCAATTTAGTTGGTGGAGATCCGAAAAGTAGGCTAACGGTGGAGAAGCCTTTCCCTGATAATGTTGGTGCTTCCTGGTTCACAGGGGCTGGGAACAGATGAGGACTCCCTCATTGAGATCATCTGCTCAAGAACCAACCAGGAGCTGCAGGAAATTAACAGAGTCTACAAGGAAAGTGAGTAGCTTGATTTCTGTGATTCACCCTCTAAGCCCAATTTCTGTGACTCTGTCATGGCCACCAGGGTGAGTACTCGGGTTAAGATGCCTGGATTGTTGATGTGCTGAAGTGCCTGCCATCTTGACCATGCAAAGCGGGGTTGGCTGTGGTCCCATTTCTCTCCTTCACCTCCTCATTGCCGGCATTTTGATCATGACATTCCGCTGGAACTTCTGTGTTCGAAGAACAGTAGACAGGAGGGAAAGGAGAGAAAACAACATTTATTTTTAAAAAAGATCTGAGGAGGAGAAGTAGCAAGTATTATAGATGGATTCCATTTATTGGGTGCTGTTCAGTCTCTGCTCAAGAGGTTCCCAACTCTGGACTGTGGGTAGCTGAAAAATCATAGCAAGAAGCCGCTGTTGACCTGTGCACACTAAACAGTATAGAAGACTATGAGTGGAATAAACAACACAACTCAACGTTGCTACTGCATTTCTGTTTTCTTTTAGTTTTTAAAGTTGATATATCATAGTTGTACATATTTTGAGGGTACATGTGATATTTTGGTACATGTAATATGTAATTATCAAGCAGGGTCATTGGGATATCCATCACCTCACACATTTATTTTTTTCTTTGTACTAGGAGCATAACAGTTCCTCTCTAGCTACTGTATTTCAGTATAGATGCTGTTTTTGACTACTGAAATATAATTTTATTCAAAAGCATTCTTTCTTAGTAGTTTCTGCCTTTGTGCATTTTTTCAGTGGACAATAAAGCATGGTATTGTGTGTGCGTGTGTGTGTGTGTAGCCCTCCAGTTTTTTTGATGTTCAGAGTGAGTATTCACAGTCAGGAGGGCTGAGAGACAGTATTTAAACTACACAAGAGGGCACTGGTCAAAGGTGAGCCCGAGGATCCCTGATTTGATCTACCCTGGCTGCCCCTTGTCGTGGATAGTAACTCTGGCTCTGATTTCATGAGGGTGAAAATCATTCTAGTGAATCCTTTGTCAGTTGGGGGTTAAGAAGAATGGATATATCAGCTGACATAGCTGTTCTGCTTTTCAGAGTCTTAGTGGGAAATGGAAAATTGGGGTGGATGGTTGGCTTCACAGGCAGAAAGCATAAAACCAGATGTATTTTTCTCCAAGTGTACAAGACTGATCTGGAGAAGGACATTATTTCGGATACATCTGGTGACTTCCGCAAGCTGATGGTTGCCCTGGCAAAGGTTGGTTTCCCAGTTTCTTTCTTTGCCCTTGCTTCCTCCCAAGGCAAGTCACATACCTCATTTTAGACTTGAAGTGAATTAACTAAATCCCCTGTGCCTGCATCAGAAATTCAGCTGCATTTTCGACAGTGGGCTTGCACTGTCACTGCGGAGTTGTCAATTTTGTATAATAGGATTTCTTATCCTGCTAAACCTCATGGACAAGTGGACTTTGGGAGCAAGAGGAGGGTTGGGCAGCTCTCAAGTCCCGGCCTGGATCTACATGCCAGAGCCTTGGCCGCGTGACTTAGGGAAGGTCACTTTGCCTCTCTCTGTGGTCATGCGGGACCCAGTGGGAAGTGACCTTCTTTCTTTTTCTTGAGTTCACTTCTCATGGGAGAATTTGCCCATGTAGTCCTTTGTCTGGAGTGAAGTTGTCTTTGTCGAGCCGATTGCTGATGTTAACACATTAACATGGAGGAAACGGTGCTTCCCCCGTGAATCCCTAATTCTGGCTGGTGTGTCACTTAATGCTTATGTGCCAGGGGAGGGACGAGAGGCTGTTTTCTCTGGGAACCCTGATGACAAATGACAGACGGTATGCCGCCTCTGACCCGCTCACATCTCCATTACTGCAGCAGCTCCTGTGCTGTTCTCCCTGGCTCTCCTCTCTTCCCTCCCACCTCCCCTGTGGACCGCCGCTCACGGATCTCTGTGAAATACACTTTCGCCATGTTACTTCCCTGTTCAAACCCCATTTCTGCTGCATCCATTGTAAACTCGTAACTGCTGGGAAAAGTCCTCTGTACCCTCCCTGCATCTTTGCTCCTAGGATTCTCTGCTGCTCCGCTCTGCTCTGACAGGGCAGCTCCTCACTTACCTGGGAGCGTGCTCTGCTGCACCTGTGGCCTGTGCTAGCCCTCGTGGGCAGTCTGGCTCTCCCTCTCCTCCTGGCTAGCTGCATTTGACTGACCCTTGAAGTTTCCGCTTCAGCCCGGCCCCATGGTTCACACCGTGTGCTGACTCTGCTCTCTGAGAGTTCTTCCTCCGCGTGGATTTCGTGTCTTCCTAGTGCCGTAGGTTCCCTGGCTGCTGTACATTTGTTTCCGCTTATTCCTCCATCTGCATTGCAAGCTTGCTAAAGGAAAGAGCTAAATCTCATCAGCTTTTTGTGGGGGATGGGGAAAGGGATTCTGTAAGGTGTGCAGGCCAGGACTGGGTTCCAAGGAGGGGGTTGTTGATGGAGAGGCACAGCACCCGCTTCCTTGCTCGATGATTTTACCACTCCTTGGCTGGTCTAGGTTTCAAAGTAAGAAAAATCTTAGGGGGATACTTATTTAGAAAATTAACTAATGGCTTACATGGACTGGGGAGAAAACATTTTCAGCTTTAAAATACACAAAGAAATGGATTTGAAGTTCTTTTCTGCCCTCCTCATAGGGCAGAAGAGCAGAGGATGGCTCTGTCATTGATTATGAATTGATTGACCAAGATGCCCGGGTAAGTGCTGAGCTTTTCGGTTTAAGTTTCTATTTTCTGGTAAATCTCTGGATAGTCTGTATAGTAATTTAACCCTGTGTAACAAATGATTTCCAAACTCTATGACTTAAAACAACAAACATGTATTATTTCTCAGTTTCTTTGTGTCAGGAATTGAGGAGTGGCTTAGTGCAGTGGTTCTGGCTCAGGGTCTCTTGAGTAGAGTTGCTTGAGCATCCTCACAACATGGCAGCTGGCTTTCCCCAGAACAGGCAATCTGAGAGAAAGCAAAGAGGAAGCCATAGCATCTTTTATGAATCTCAGGTGTCCCACCCTGCACTGCCGTCATACTCCTTTCATTAAAAGTGAGTCATTGAGTCTAGCCCACGCTCACTGGGAGGGGATTAGGCTCCTCCTTTGGAAGGGAGGAATGTCAAAGAATTTCTGGCCATCTTTTAAACCCACTGTAGTCTGAGAGCAATGTTTATTAGAAGATACTCTGTTATAATGCTGGCATTACCTACAGAGTCAATACCTGACTCACATATGCTCATTCAGGCTTTGCTTGTATGGAAGCACCAGTTTCTGCAGAGTGTGATCTGGCTGTGCACACTTAGCAGGCAGGCAGGTGGGAAGCAGAAGAAAGTGAAGACACAGCCAGGGACAGGGCGGCTGACAGCTCGTTGTAGGGGGAAAAAGGAGGCCAGCAGAGACCTGTCCTTTTCTGGCTGAATAAAACTTTTGCCAGTTGTAGTTCGATAATGTCTGAGAACTATTTGTTAAGCTTATTCAGACTGCTATGAACTGTAATTACTCAAGGCTCAACAGTTACGTCGCAGTAAGTATAAAAGCTGCAGAAAAAAATTAAATTCATGTTAGTTTTAAATTCAATATATTCCACACAACACTTCTAGAAGGTAGTAGAGAACACTTTTTTTTGAGACAGAGTTTCACTCTTGTTACCCAGGCTGGAGTGCAATGGCGCGATCTTGGCTCACCGCAACCTCCGCCTCCTGGGTTCAGGCAATTCTCCTGCCTCAGCCTCCTGAGTAGCTGGGATTACAGGCACGTGCCACCATGCCCAGCTAATTTTTTTGTATTTTTAGTAGAGACGGGGTTTCACCATGTTGACCAGGTTGGTCTCGATCTCTTGACCTCGTGATCCACCCGCCTCGGCCTCCCAAAGTGCGGGGATTACAGGCTTGAGCCACCGCGCCCGGCCTGAGAACACTTTTAAATAAAATAATAGAAGTTGGGTTTTGCAGTTCCTAGAGGGTGGAAGATCACGGAATGAATATCTACCCTTCAGTAAGCCTTTCTTCCTCTTGTCCTTCCTGACATTGTTAAGGACTGCTTATAGCGCCTAAATTTTCCAGAAACTGAAAATGAGATGGGACAGGCTCCTTTTCCAGCTCCATCACTCCCTGAGTCTCTGAGAAGCTTGGGAATGGGAGCCTGGCCATAGCTGTCCAGTAAATGTTGACTAGTTTATCTGCCCCTAAATGTACCCAAAGGGAGGAGGGCCAGATGTGCTAATTAACATTGACTTGTCCTTCTGTATATGAATAAAAGCTCTTGGTCCTTCCTTTCTTACTCAAGGAAGGAGGCTATAATCACAGACCTCATGAACTATTTACAGTCTTATTTGTATCCATTTGTGCCTCAGGAAGACTGCTTGTGACTAAGTATGTCTAAATAGTACGTTGGTGCCCATGTGTGTAGTATAACCATTCTTCCCCATTGGGCGTTTTGAGTGTGTAGCTTTTTTTGTTTTTTTTTTGCATGACAGTTTTTATGACCTTATGCTGGATTGCGTAGTTAACTTTTTTCTGGTTGGTTGTACTCGTAGGATCTCTATGACGCTGGAGTGAAGAGGAAAGGAACTGATGTTCCCAAGTGGATCAGCATCATGACCGAGCGGAGCGTGTGCCACCTGCAGAAAGGTGGGCACTGTGCTGAGGGGGTCTCAGTGCCTTGGGGCTCTGGGGCGGCTGGGTGGATGTCCATGTTGGGGTTGAGTTTGCCAGAATGAGGTCCTCTCTCTACTTACCACTCTCATAGGCTCACCCGTTTTCCCCCACCAGGTACATTCGCCTTTCTCTCCCATTCTGGATCCTTTTTTTTTTTTTTTTCCTAAGACGGAGTTTCGCTCTTGTTACCCAGGCTGGAGTGCAATGGTGCAATCTCAGCTCACTGCAACCTCAGCCTCCTGAGTAGCTGGGATTACAGGCACGCGCCACCATGCCCAGCTAATTTTTTGTTTTTTTTTTTTTTTTTTTTTTTTAGTAGAGACGGGGTTTCACCATGTTGACCAGGATGGTCTCGATCTCTTGACCTCGTGATCCACCCGCCTCAGCCTCCCAAAGTGCTGGGATTACAGGCTTGAGCCACCGCACCTGGCCTGGATTCTTTTCTCTTGCAAATAGTTTCTGCATTTGGTGCTGTAGCTTGCAGCTCCTTCTTGTCTGATGACCATTTTATCTCACTATATTTGTTGAAGTAGTGGACTTTGCTGCATGCTTTGTGCTGTTTCCTGTGGTTTCCAGATGCAGTGGGTTCCATTCAGGGGAGATGGAGATGGTCAAAATACGTGGCCTGGGCAATGCCATTCAGGACAGGTGCATGATATGGCTGTCCCAGGACACACTCGTGGGATGTCGGCTCTGGTCACCATGGCAACCTCTAACACCCTAGGATGCTATGATCATCCTCAATTTTTGAAAAAATCGTGGTGCATAAAACTAGATGGGTGATTATTGACAACTTTGACCAGTGGCTCTGATCTGATAACTCTCTGTTGGTTTTCTGCAGTATTTGATAGGTACAAGAGCTACAGCCCTTATGACATGTTGGAGAGCATCAGGAAAGAGGTTAAAGGAGACCTGGAAAATGCCTTTCTGAACCTGGGTAAGCAAGCGTGGCCCCCATTACTGGTAGACATCAGCTTTCAGTGGACAGTGCTGGAGCACCTCTTAATTCCATCCTCTTAATTCCAGTGTTTGGGAGGTGTGGCTTCTGTTTTACAGTCTTAATTGTATAGGTTTATAGTTTTTAATTATTTATTTAAATAATTAATTTATAGTTTAACGGTATAGTTTTACAGTCTTAATTGTATTGGTTTAAGAATATAAAACTGAATAAAAGCCTAAGTTGGTAACAGATGGTTGCCAGGGAGGAGTCAGGGAACAGGAGAAGAGAGGGGTGTGTTGAGGAAACTCACATGTGCTCTTGGGATCTGCACGTCTCGGAGTCCCCTGGTTTAAAACCGTGGTGGAACTCAGTATTGCAGAGGATTTCCAGGATTCCCTTAGCCTGTCCCATTTTGCAGCCCGCTTCCATTGTATCAGGTCACTTCTGGTTTGTGGCCCAGGGTCAGGGCGTCTTCTCCCACTGGCTGAGGAGAGGCGAGAGCACCTACAGCTCTGACTCCCGTTCTTCTCTCCACAGTCCAGTGCATTCAGAACAAGCCCCTGTATTTTGCTGATCGGCTGTACGACTCCATGAAGGTAAGGGCGGCTGGCTGAGAGGGCTGTGTTCCCACGCACAGCTTTTCTTGTCTTGTGCCCCAAACGGAGTCTCCTCAACTCGTGGATGGAGGAAGGGGACCCCACTGTCTGGGGGCAGGAGCACACTAGTCAGCTGTGGTTGTATTTGACATGTGAGAGAACAACAGATTGGTCTCTCTCTCAGCTGCTTGAACATGTATTTGTGTTCAGGCAGAAAGTTAAGTGCCGCGGGAGAGAGAAAATGCGACGTGGTCATCGTATCTGATTCCTGCTCCGGTTTCCCAGTGATTTCTTCCTGTTAGCCCCAGAGTCAAGACAAGTGAAGAAGGGAGGGATTATTAAGTGCCCACTATACAGTAGACATGTGCTACTGTTTCACCTTAAATCATTGCAGATCAGGTCTGAGGCTTATATGATTGTCTTCTTTATAAATGCAGAGACGGAGCTCAGAAGGCCTCAAGCTGCTTGAAGTTACACAGCCAGATTTGAACCTGGGTCTGTCACTCTCCAAAGACAGCCCCACAACTCTCCCTTCAACGAACCACCTCTTCCCATAGACCCATGCCCTTTTCTACACCTCAGATGTGCCTGTGTTTTCTGGCTTCTGGGCTTCTGCCTTTTCCTTCTGGAACATCTCCTTTGTCCGCGCTGCCTCTGCCATCTGTCTTTGAGTTCCATATCAAATGGCATCCCTCAGTGCCTCTGGTCTGATGCTCTGGAAGTAAACTCGGTGGTCTTTATTGCACATATCGTTCAGATGGCGCAGAGTGATGATAGAAGCATATTGGCATGTCCCCGCTAAGCCTGCAAGAGTCAGGAACCTCTTGTTACATTTGGAAGCTCAGACTGCTTGAAGTGAGCCTTGTGGTAGTAGGTGCTCAGTGTACATTTACGGAACGATGGCACAGAGTGGGAGTCTGTGCTGACTACAGCCTGGTGTGTTTGGAATTCCCAGATACTCTTTGTTCTTTTCTTTTCTCTTCTTCTCTTTTCTTTTTTTCCTTCTTTTCTTTCTTCCTCCCCTTCCTCCCTCCCTCCCTCCCCCACTCCCTTCTTCTCTTGCTTCCTCCCTCGGTCCCTCCCTCCCTCTCTCGCTCCCTCCCTTCTTTCCTGCCTGCCTCTCTTTCTTTCTGTCTTTTTTTCTTCCTTTCTCTTTTTCTCTTTCTTCTCTCTCTCTCTCTCTCTCTCTCTCTCGCTCTCTCTCTCTGTCTCTCTCTGTCTTCCCTTTCTTACAGGTTTTTGGGGAACAAGTGGTGTTTGATTACATGAAAGTTCTTTAATGGTAATTTTTGAGATTCTGGTGCACTCATCACCCAGGTAGTGTACGCTGTGCCCTAATATCCCTTATCTGAAATGCTTGAAACCAGGAATGTTTTGGATTTCAGATTTATTTTTGATGTTGGAATATTTGCATACATATAATGAAATATTTTAGGGATGGGACCCAAGTCTAAACGTGAGATCCATTTGTGTTTTATGTAACCCTTACACACATACCCTAAAGGTAATTTTATACAATGCTTTTGATAATTTTGTGCATGAAACGGTTTGTGTTCAGTGCTTATATATGGAATTTTTCACTGTGGCATCATGTTGGCACTGAAGAAGTTTTGGAATCTGGAGGATTTTAGGTTTCAGATTTTCAGATCAGGGATGCTTAACCTTTAGACTGTTTCTTTAATGTTAACATTCTCAGTGTGTGTAACTTGGAATATCAACTTGATTTTCAGGGCAAGGGGACTCGAGATAAGGTCCTGATCAGAATCATGGTCTCCCGCAGTGAAGTGGACATGTTGAAAATTAGGTCCGAATTCAAGAGAAAGTACGGCAAGTCCCTGTACTACTACATCCAGGTAAGCCCGAGGTGTCGTGTCAGCCTGCCCTGCCATCCAGAGCGCCCCGGGCCCCAGCAGCTGGCCTGGCAGAATGATGATGGAATGGTGATTTTCTGTTTTCTAACTCTCTGGGGAAGAGATGCCGGTCACCCGCCATCAGGGATTTGCTTTGAAAGGACCATTTGTGATTTGTCCTGGTCTTTGTGGAATCAGGCAGATGTTTTATATTTTTCACATCTGTTCCTCTACAACGATTGTTGGTATTCCTGATGATGACCCTGTAAGCCTTGCTGACATCCCAAAGAGACTTGGAAGATCAGTTACATTTTACCGTTTATTATGTGTTTATGCCTTGGAAAATCCTCTGGGATAGGCCTGACAACTTTCAGTGACTGACTGCCATCTTTCCAGTCAATTTAGCCTCTGTCTGTTTTGGTGTGCTGGCGCATTTGCATGTAAGGAAGTGACCGCATTCACAGTGGTGGCACTGTGTGGATTTCAGACAGCCATTGCAATTCCCCTTTCTAAAACTTCCTGAAATGTCCTAGGGCCTGCCCATGGTTACCAAAGATGAAGTTAGAGCTGGGTTTTTCTATAGCCAGGTTTATTAGGGCGCATGTTTAAAGTCAAAGGACTGTTTAGACTATTAGCAATTGTTCCTCATCTCACCAGCTTATGTCCAGTTGACCTTAAGCATGCAGGAAATAGTAGAGTGAGGTAGGAAAGTACCCTGTTCTCTGTAGAAGGGTGAGGATGAGAGAGGAAAGTTGGGGTGTTGGCAGGACCTTGCTGCGTAAGAACAGCCCTGGTCACTGGTCTTTATCAGTCTACAGCGCCTGGCATTCCCTCCATGCCACAGTCCCAAGGAGACTTGAATGTCTTCCCCAACGCCTCCTCCTACCACACTCCCAGAGGGTTCCAGGGCAATGGGTTGGGTGTGGCCCTTCGGGCCTTTGTGTCAAGGCAGGTCTCCTGCAGAGTCTTCTCTCTGTCCTGGGAGAGGCCTCACTGAACGTTGAGCTGCTACTTTGGGCTTTTTTTTCTGATGCTGTATTTCTTTTTTCTCCTGGGCTATTTGCAGCAAGACACTAAGGGTGACTACCAGAAAGCGCTGCTGTACCTGTGTGGTGGAGACGACTGAAGCCCGACACGGTGTGAGCATCAGGAACGGTGCTCCCTATGCTTCCAGCTAACAGGTCTAGAAAACCAGCTTGCGACTAACAGCCCCTATCGCCGGCCCTGTGAGGATGACGGTAGCGTTGCCCCCACCCCCATTCTAGTTGCCTAAGCATTGCCTGGCTTTCCTGTCTAGTCTCTCCCGTAAGCCAAAGAAATGAACATTCCAAGGAGTTGGAAGTGAAGTCTGTGATGTGAAACACTTTGCCTCCTGTGTACTGTGTCGTAAACAGTTGAATAAACTGAATTTGTACTTTAGAAACAAGTACTTTGTGGCCCTGCTGTCAATTTAATTGTTTGAAAATTAAACATGCTTGGGGTTGTGCTGTTGGGCCGGTGAGGCTGTCTCTCCAGGGAGAAAGTTCTAGGACTGAGCTGTACAGCATGGTTGCCCCTATCCAGGTGTCGTTATTTAAGTTATATTTAAATGAAATGAAATAAAATAAAATAAAAGATTCAGTTCTGCAGTCACACAACCTGCATTTCAAATGGTCAGCGTTCAGATGTGGTCAGCGGCTAGGACACCTGGACAGCACAGGTAGGGAGCATTTCCATTACCTGCCCTTCATCTGCTTCTCTTTCTACAGGTTAATGAGGTGAAAACAAGTATTGGGGCAGCCACACACTGGGGAAGGCAGTGGGGCAGGGTGGGGCAAGCTGCAGCCTTCTTGCAAAGGAGATCCCACCCACCCAAGCAGACGGGAAGCACAGAGAACGGATTGCTTTTGACTGGGAGGATTCAGAAAGATGACAGAGAAAGAAGCCATTTGAGCTGTACCCTAAAACCTAAGGTGAGGTTTTATAGCTGGGAGAAAACACTCCATGCAGGATCTTAGGGGTCTGGGAATGAATGACAGGTTGCTCATACAATGGTACACATGTCAAGAAGTTCAGAGACTTTTCTGTACCCTGAAAGTGATGTTTCTCCTGTGCCGGTCACTGCAGCCACCTGGTTTCCAGTACATTTTCATGGCTAGACTGCGAAAGCATGTGTGTATATTTATGTATCTGTCTGTGGTCACAAATGTGAAGGTGCTGTTCCCAGGCTGTCGTCCTGGGATCTGCAGATTCCTTTTGATACAAGTGTCCCCCCTAAGCAGGGTGCAGGGCTGGGAGGATGGGGAGGTACACAACTCCCTCCAACCCTTCTCCTCAGAAGAGCACCTTCTTCTGAGGGTGTCAGCTATTCATTTTTGGAACTTGGCCGATGCAGGGTCCACTCAGTCATCTGCAGGGACTAGGTGGATTATGGAAATGAGTGTATGAAATGGGCAGGTTGGACAGAAGTAGGGAGTCTGGGGAAAACGTACAACTATGCTGTACAGCTCAGTCCTAGAACTTACACTGAACTCAGAATTGACAGGGCTGGGCAGAGGCTGTCCGTAGCAATGTTGCAGATCAGGAAATATTTTGGCATTGTTACCCCTCAATCCGAAGTGTGTTTTAGGCTGCAAAGGGAACAGTGGTGTGGAGAAGGCAAGGCCATGGGGTGAATGTGGGGAGACGTATGTTCCCACTGTGACCACAACAGTGTGTGGGAAGCAGGTATGTGGGAAAATCCAAAGGGCAGGCCAGCACAGGAAAGGTGCTTGGAGAACTGTTTCAAACACTGTCAACTGTCTTTCGTCTGTACAAAGCAATGGCAGCACAGTGTATTCTGAAACTCACAGCCAGGCTTGGAATTTGGGCCCATTTTCTTCTGGATTGCAGCCTGTTCTCCTCAGCCAAGCTGTCCAAACCATTTCTTGAATAAAGAGAACCATCTGGAGGTTTGACTGTTCTCCGCAGCAATTTTACTTTGCAAAGAGAAGGAAAAGGGCACCAGGCAGGCTGTGAGTTGGTAACAAGAACTTTGATTATATTCTTTGAGGAATAAAAGGTAACTGATGCAATGCAGCTATGAAAACTTACTGCACTATAACGCTGTGATCCAGAACGTGATTTTTTCTCCCTGCCTTGGTGGGGCTGGACAGGGCCATCATGTTATACAACCCCAGAGAATACTCATCCTGTTATAGTCTATGTGAGTGGTATCTCCCTTGGTGTTGTGCGGTGTACAACCTGAGCAGCCATACATGACAGCCCAGTATTGTGACCCTAGGTATGTGTGAGACGGCCTATTTGGCCTTTTGCTACAGTTGCCTTCCGGATTAAAAAGTTAGATAACAGGCTGGGCGTGGTAGCTCATGCCTATAATTCCAGCACTTCGGGAGGCCAAGGCGGGTGGATCACCGGAGCTCGGGAGTTTGAGACCAGCCTGACCAACATGGAGAAACCCCATCTGTACTACAAATACAAAAAAAAATTAGCCAGGCATGGTAGCACATGCCTGTAGTCCCAGCTACTCGGGAGGCTGAGGCAGGAGAATCGCCTGAACCAGGGAGGTGGAGGTTGCGGTGAACTGACATTGTGCCATTGCACTCCAGTCTGGGCAACAAGAGCAAAATTCTGTCTAAAAAAAAAAAAAGACAAATCTTCTACTTAGAAACAAATGGGTAAACCTCTAAAGGTTTTGACTTCCATAGACTCTTGATCTTCAGACCAGTTTTACTGGGCTATGCACAAATGGCTGTATGTATGAATCTTCCCCTGTATGTGAAGTTCCCATGGTATAAATTATTAGTAAAGATAGCTAAGGCAGGGAAAACCAGGCTCACAAAATGGCTACATTTAGCAAGAAAAATGATTTGGGGACAGAAATCTTTTAAATCAATTTTAGTCTTTAAATGACTCCCGTCTCCAGACCTCTCCCTGTGTTTTGACAAACAGCTTTGGTTTCTCATCCACATCAGTTTATTTGACCTCCTTTTCCCATCAACTACCAAAATGAAAACTCTGCTGCAGGAGAGAGAAGCGGAGAGAGAGTGCGAGCAATTTTAAACATCCCTTAGCAATGAGGCAGAACATGCTATAGCCATCAAGTTCTAGTTGTTCATTCTATTTATTGAAAAAAGCTTGTAGCCTGATTTCTTTTATGCGAGTACATTTGAGCAAGCAAAGTTTATAGAGATGACTTATCTCATTACATTAGAAGAGTGATTTGCTATCTCAGCATCTATAAGCAATTTTAGCAGACATTTCTGGATGAAGAAAAGCTTTTGTAAATATATGCGAAAGACACAATTTCATCAAGCATTAAATTGGAGGTGCCCTGGAAAAATATTACATTTGTGCATTCAATTAGCTTGATTGTGGCTGAATTTTGTCCACTGAAGGCAGCATTTCTGCAGAAAAACTGAAGCATTCCCTATGTCAGCAGGTTTCCCGAAACAGAATAAGCACACAAGTTTCCCCTTTGCCAGTCGTCTTTTGCATTTGTGCTGTTCCGAGCTCTGTGTCCCTAATCAGGCTGCTCAGTCGTGTTCCTTGCAAGGAGAGTGATAGAGGTGAGGGAAATTCTATCAGGGTAGAAATTCCTGATAGAAATCCAAACTCACCATTATTTAAATAGCCTGCATCTGGTGCAAAAGCTAGGCAAGCTCTGGGCAAAATTGGGAGGGAGTCAAAGGACTTGAGTCCTCCCGGTCTCCTTCCAGAGTCTGTAGGACACTATTTCAATCCTGTTATGGCTGTTAGCCCATATCCTTTCCCCTGGGGTGAGTCTGCAGGACTCACCCTATCTTTTATTTGGAATAGAAGTTTTGTCCTCCTATTACAGGAAAGAGTAAAGTTAGGAAATGAATGGTTGGGGTACAAGAGGGCTTTCTTGCACCCCTTAAAGTCAGCGAAAGAAAGGAGCTAAATATGTAGGGATGATCCTGGCCCTCCCCTGACGCACCCCTGCCCCCCTTGCTGACAGGTAGTTGAACCATCAGCTCTCTACTAATAAGAAACAAGCCAGGAAAAACATAATGCCAGTGGAACCTGGCCGTGGGGGTGGCTCATCTCTTTAAATGGTAGGTGAGGACAAATTGGAAGTTTCTCAGCTATAATCCATTACAGCCTGATAGGATTTGGCTCGGTGTCCTCACCCAGATCTCATCTAGAATTGTAGTCCCCACGTGTGGAGGGAGGGAGGGGATTGGCTCCCAGGGGTGGGTTTCCCCCATGCTGTTTTTTTGACAGTGAGTGAGTTCTCACGAGATCTGGTGGTTTTAAAACCATCTGGCATTTTCCCAGCATGCAGCGCTCTCTCCTACCACCATGTGAAGAAGGTCCATGGTTCCCCTTCACCTTCTGCCTCTATTGTAAAGTTTCGTGAGGCCTCCCCAGCCATGTAGAACCGTGAGTCAATTAAACCTCTTTTCTTTATAAATTACCTGATCTCGGGTAGTAGCAGTGTAGGAATGAACTATGTAGCCCAAGGCAATTATGCTTTAAAGTAAATGTTTAAAGATTAATTAATCCACGAATCAGGAAGGAGTTTGGATTAGGAACAGAAATGTTTGAAACAAGTCTTTGTTACGCTTTCCATGTCAGATTTCGACCTTTACCATGGAGTCTTGGGCTTTGGAGAACCACCTTGGTCTCAGCGAATCACTTTTGTCTGAATAGATACGAGCTGCTAGATGACTAAAAAGTTTTTGTTTGTTTGTTTTTTGTTTTAACTGTAGAGTTCTGCAGGTAATACTGGTCCTCAGTCATCCAGGTATTCATTCGTTTACTTCATTTGTTTAACAGACATACCTCTTACGTGCTGGTGCCTGAAAAAGCACTGGGGATATTACGAGAGAGAGAACAAGGCAACTCCAGCCAAGTAGAGTGACAAGGGCTGTCATTGAGAAAAACCACAGGCACCTGAGGGTGGAGAGTAGCTGATTACATCCAAGAGAAGCACGTGGGAGGTTTCTAGGAGGGGGGGCAACCTGTTTTTTTGTTTTTGCTTTTGTTTTTAAAAGACAAAGTCTTCCTTTGCAACCCAGGCTGGAGTGCCAAGATGTGGACATGGCTCAGTGTGGACATGGCTTACTGTGGCCTTGACCTTCTAGGCTCAAGCAGTCTTTCTGCCTCAGTCCCCTGAGGAGCTGGGACTATAGGAGCATGCCACCACACCTGAATACTTTTTGTATTTTTTTTTAAGAGATGGAGTTTTCACCTGTTTCCCGGACTGGTGTTGAACTCCAGAGTTCAAGCCATCCCCCAACCGTGGCCTCCCAAAGTGCTGGGGATTACAGGCGTGAGGAGATACTCCATAAAAGCAGATTTTGTTGTTGTTGTTCTTTGGGTATGGTGTTTTTTAGTTTAGTTTAGTTTTGTTTTTTTTTTACAAGAGGATTATGTAATAATTGGAGAAAGTTGGAAAATAGAGAAAACTGTGAAAAAGAA